ATATATTTGAGGGGGGGGGAGCACAAGCAGGGGGAGGGGCAGAGGGAGAGGGAGAAGCAGAGAGCCAGACGTGGGGCTCGATCCCAGGACCCTGGGATCATGACCTGAGCCAAAGGCAGATGCTTAATCGACTGAGCCACCCAGGTGCACACACCCTCCCCACCCCCCCTTTTTAAAAAGATTTTATTTATTCAAGAGAGTGAGATGACTGTTAACACTGAAAGCTCCTTAGTCTGACTCAGAGCCCACATCCTGAACAACATAATATTTTGCAATTACTTTTTGTAGAGAGCTGCTCCTGTTATTGAACCTGTAGGACTGGTCTGTATGGTCCAGCTAGTCTGGTTCTGCAAGAAGAGAGAGGTCTGTGCTGCGGGGTGGTGGGAGGGAGAACCGCCATGGAGGTAGAGAAGACATTGGGCTAGTCAATGACGATGGGACAATGACAGTCGTATCTTCCAGAAGCAAGATATTTTGCCAGTTGCTTTGAGGTGAAAGCTGTTCTGGGTCTTCAAAGAGTTTGTGGCCTCCAGGTGGCACAAAACTAACCCTCCAATGACTATGCTATGAAGATTACATTTTTTTAAAGATTTTATTTATTTATTTGACAGAGAAAGACACAGTGTGAGAAGGAACACAAGCAGGGGGAGTGGGAGAGGGAGAAGCAGGCTTCCAGCTGAGCAGGGAGCCCGATATGGGGCTCGATCCCAGGACCCTGGGATCATGACCCGAGCTGAAGGCAGATGCCCAACGACTGAGCCACCCAGGCGCCCCTGTTTGTTTTGTTTTTCAGTAGGCTCCTCGCCCAGCACAAAGCCTAATGCAGGGCTTGAACTCACGACCCTGAGACCAAGACCTGAGCTGAGATCAAGAGTCGGGTGCTTGACCAACTGAGCCACCCAGGTACTCCTGAAGCTTACATGTTGAAGAGAGGTGCAGGGAGTTTTGGCAGTTCACCACGGGGAGACACGCATATGAGGGATGGAATCTGAAAAAGTGTCATGGATAAGGAGCCAAGGATCTCAAAGGGAAGAGAGGGTATCAGCAAGTGAAGATAAATGAGAAGGGCTTTCAGAGGACTATGGTTGTGAGGCCTATACCTTTCCTTTTGGCAATGGCCCCACATTTGAAAGATTTTGCCCATCAAAGTGGATTCATTAAGTAATACATTTTGCTATTTATAATTAAAGACAGCAAAACTGTTGATTAAGGTTCCTGATCATCACACGCGTTTATTCACCAAACAGTGTTTAGCACCTTCTTTGTGTGAAGTGCTGTGCTTGGTACTTGGAATATGCTCATAGTACATCGATAGAGAAGATAACGGCCCTTCCTTCAGGGAACTCTCTGAGTCTGATGGTTGAAACCAGTGAAACTTGACATTTGTGTCCCACGTTATGTCGGGTAGAAAAATGTACATCTGTTATTAGGCCTTTTGAAATATTTGAAAGGAAAAACCATTATCATTTATTGAGAGACGACTGTGTGCTCAGCATGCTGTGGGCACCTTACATACACTTGGTTTTATTGGTTTGGGTGTCCCCTCCACCCTCCCTAGAAGGCAAGCTCCATGTTTTGTTCATCACTGTGTCTCCGGTGCCTACAATCATGCCTGCCATATATGCGTGTTCAACAAACACTAGATGAATGGACCAAGTGAATTAACTCGAATCTCTCAACAACCTGCAAGGTGGTTGGCATTCTTTTTCTCTTCCTGATAAGGAATCTAAGACTCAGAGAGACTAAATTCCTCAAGTTCCTGCAACCGTCAATGACAGGGCAGGGATTTACATCAGATCTGTTTGACTTTGAAGGTGATTCTTTTGTCCCATCCTTCCTCCAGGAATGCAGAGATGCCTAAAGCCAGGGGACAGTCGGTTGGACAGCTCTGGGATAAGATACGAATATGCAAAAGTCTGTTTGAGCCGGGGGAGTGGTCCACGTGAGGGTCAGTGGGAAGCAAGGAAGGGGGCTCTATGGCTGTGTTCCCATGGCCAGTGTGGAAGGCCCAGAGGGCTGGGCTGAGGATTTGACTGGATCTGGAAGGCCTGGTGTAATGCAGAGTTTCCACTTGATTGGAATTGTATTTTGGAAAGATGAACAGGATGTAAGGGTGGTTTGGCTTTTAGAAAGATGGGAGATGAGAAGTGTCATTAATTTGTTAACTGGGGGAGAGGTAACCAGTAATAGAATGGAGGCAGTGACAAGAATGGACAAGAGGGATGGTGTCAGAGTAGACTCAACTGTCCCAAGTGAGGGAGCCAAGAGAAAGCTCAGAGATCAATTTGCAGCCCCCAGTGGGTGAGGCAGCTAGCGTGGATGGCTTTCTCACTCTTCCTAGAGTTCTCTCCAGGTGGGTAGTGTCCTCTGTTATAGGACCACAGCTCTATGCCAGTCATCTTGGCAGAGCCTGTGGCTAGTCAATTCCTTAGCACATGTTTGTGGAGCACTTAGTATAATATGCACATGGCATCAACGACAGTGCTTTCTTTGTACTTTGGGATTAATAGGTCAATAGAATACCTTAAGGCTATACTGTGTTAGGATTTGGAGACACAAGGAGAACAGATATTTAGGAGTCTATCAGGCTTCCTGGTTCCAACTGTATGTAACCCCTGCCTGAGGATTCGGTGGGTTAATACAGGTTAAGCAAATAGAACAGTGCCTGACATGTATGTAGTAAGTGATTGGTGTTTGCTAATTGGTGATTGGTGTTGTCTTATATATAAGACAGGGCACTCCCCTCAAGGTCACTGTCATGTAGTTGGGTTCATCCAGTCCATCAAGACACTGCAACAGAAGACATATAGGCAAGGCACAGAAGGAGTTCTAAAGGGGCGTGATTTATATGGCTACTTGTCTGTTGTTCAACCCCGCCCCTCCCACTGACAGCCAAGCTTCTCATAGTCTCTGAGGCTAGGGTTTCATTCCCATACTTCACTCTAAACTCCCTGGTGACAAAATGACTTATCAACTCTACCCAAGCCTCTGGGACCCTAGGAATTCCCAAGAGTGTGCAAGACTCAGAGCCTCCATTTTGGAGGCGACCTTTATCCCTTGCCAGCTCAGCAGACCTGCCAGGAATTAAATCTTTGCCTGGGACAAATGAGATTAGGTTCCCTTTGGAGAGAGAAAAAAGGACAATCTTCACCCCTCCCTGGACACAGACATTCATTTGCCTGATCCCCTGCAAAGCAGATGAGCCTCTGAGACGCCCTCTTTCTTGTTCACTTAGGGGTGAAAAATTATCAGCAAGAAACCAATTAGCATCCTCTATGAGTGCGTCCCAAGCCTTCTGGAGTCCATTCTTTTACTCTGTCCTCTACACATAAGCAGCATCTGCTTTGGGGGGTCTTGTCCTAATTGAGTGAACCTGTGCTGTTATCATTTGTTAATTGTAGCCCCAAGGGGGGGGAAGAAGGAGGAGGCGACGAGGAGGAGGGGACAGGGCTCTGTCCTTCCTTTGTCCCCAGCCTAGAAGGCTGCAATCAAGAGAGGGTGATGGGGCCGAGGGGTCAGAGGTCAACCACGGAGGCTCTACCTGCTAGACACCTAGGTGGCTGGTTGACATTCAGTGAAGGATAATAAAAAGAATCTTTCTTGAGCACTTATTGTGCACCAGGCACGATTGTAAAGGCTTTATATGGATCAACCGATTTAATCGTTGCAACTCTCTAAGTTAGGTGTTCTCATTAGTTCCCACTTGACATTGAGGAAAATGGAGGCGCTAGGAGATTAAATACCTGCCCTCGCAACACAACTAGATCGGAGAGAAATCAAGATTGGGGCCTTGACATTCCTGCTGCAGCATCTGCGCTCCCGGCCACCTCCGCTGGCCCGCGGGGGGACCCCGAGAGCCCGGCCGTCCGCTGCCACGGTGGAGCAGAGAGCCTCCAGCCCAGCAGCTGCTGAGCCATTGCCAAGCCTCAGTGTTGGTGACCCCCTAGTCAGCTATCTGCTGGGAGAGCCCGGATGCTCAGCAGGTAGGGGGCGGGCCCGGAGCGCAGAGCGCGGACCAGGATGCTAGGGAGGTGCAGAGGCAAGAGGAGCATCTCCGGGCTCCTGGGGAAGCAGGATGCACAGGCTGGGAGAAGCAAAGGCAAGTCACTATCTGCTCTGAGGGACAAACGGCTTGAGACCCAAAGTCCAAACTCCGGAGTAAAAGCACGCAGGCCCCGCACTCTGCGGCTTCTGGCAACCTCCCCGTCCCCGGGTGCTGCCGGAGACTGAGAAGAAGAACTTGTTTCCCTGTGACCCAGCTTCTTCTCACGTCAACCCTACTTCAACCCTACCGGCAGAGCCCAACACCCCTCTTCCCTGCTTGGGTACGAATCCGAACGTCAGATGCCAGGCCTTCTGTTTCTGAGAGCACAGGGCTGCACGTTCAAATGTCCACATGGGCCGCGCAGGTCACACACACAACTAACAGAGGTAAAATCCAGTCGTGAGCGAGGCAGCCTGCCTCAGCCTGAGGAGCACACATCTGGCCTAAAGCCTTTCCGGGTTAAGACAGTTAAAAAAAAAAAAAAGCGTTGTGCAGAGCAGGCAAGCCCTTCTGGGTCCATCACTGCAGGCTCTTAGCTCCCATGGGGAAGGAGCGATGGGAGTGGACCCCGAATTTCTCCTCTCCTGTGAGTTTCTGTGTAGTAAGGAAGCAGCAGAACGGCGCATGCGCACTGTAAGGCATGCGCAGATGCTGAAGCCAAGGGCGTGGTCTTGACCCCAGCTCTACTATTTACTGTCTCTGTGACTCTGGACAAGTTATATGCCTCCTTCTGCCTCGGTTTCTTCATCTGTGAGATGGGGAGATGGTAAGTACCGCTTCATGAGCGCTACCGTATGAACTAAATGAGTTACATGTAAAGTGCTTAGAACACTGTCTGGTATATACATTTAGTGCCAGGTAAGTGTTAGCAATTCTTTCTACAGTACACGTTTCACACGTTCTGGATGCTGCGCACATTTAGTGATAATCTACAGTTGTTTTTTTTTAGGTTCACTAAATTTATTTTAAAAATCATGAAACGTTTCTTACAAAAGAGCATTACATTCTGCACACTGCTCTGAATAGATGCCAGGGACAAATGGACTATTGTTACTTTTCCTCCCTGTCCCACCACCCCCCAAAATGTTACAGTGACCACAAAGCAAAGTGTTCACAATAATTACATGGGGGGAATTTTTTCTTTTAAACCACCAACAATGAACAAAAATTAAAATTCACTCACTCTGCTGCTGTTTCAAAATTTCAATGTTAGTTTTTGCACTCCCTTCCCCCCCAACCCTGTTTGTAAGGAACTAAAACATTACATCTGGTGAACAGCAAAGATTTCACTACACCTCAAATGCAGAACACCTATGAAGCAGAGGAATGTTGGCTTTTTAAACAGAAGCAGATTAAAAAAAAAAAAAGATGCAGGACTCCTTCAGTTCTTCACTAGTCTTAGAAAAACTTTCCAGAATACTGCTTCACACTGTTCTGCAGCAAATACTGTGCATTCTGTATCTGGTCCTGTGTTCCTGTAATGGTAATGATCCGATCTTCAGACCCTTCTAGAGGCTCGTCAATTTTGATCGAAGCTCCTGACTCATGACGGATTTGTTTAATCCGCTGACCACCTTTGCCAATAATAGATCCAGCCAAATCTTTGGGAATAGTTACTCGTGTAGTAATAATAGGTCCACCAAGATCACCATATGAGCCACGACCCCCTGCATAGGAATAATCATATCCGGAGCCACCCTGTGGTTCATAAGCCATCTGCCATTCTGATGGGCTCCATGTATCTATTGCAGAGTCCCAAGTTTCATCAGCACTGAAACCAACCATGCCATCATAGCGGTCTCCAGGTCTTCCTCTTCTGTCATAGGCCATTAGATCTCCTCCTCTAGGTGGTGGTGGTGGAGGAAGAGGAAGATTCCAAGCTCTGCTACCACCCCGGCCACCTCGTCCAGGAGGAGGTGGAGGAGGTCCCCGACGAGGGCTCATATCATCATAATCTCTTCTAGATGGAGGCATAGGACGCCCACCCCGACCAGGAGGCATTCTGTTAAAGCCACCTCTTCCCCGCATGGGAAATCCCACAGGACGTCCATGGCAGTCATCAAACATCATTGTAAAACCACCATAATCGTAGGTTTCATCATAAAAATTGGGATCATAAGGCTGTGCACGTCCTTTGATGGGAGACTCTGATATAAGATCAAGGATGATCTTGATGCACTCTACAACCCTATCAGGTTTTCCTCCAATAAGAACGACTCTGTCAGTGGAATGAGGACAGCATTCCTGGAAAAGCTTGATTGTTGTCTGTGTGTTCTCTCGAAGTTCTTTGATTTTAGCACCTTTGACCCCAATAATTCCTCCTGCCAGACTCTGATGAATGAACAGTCTCAACTCACAGTCAAAGTCACTTCCTTTATAGTGTTGGTAATTTAAGCATTCCACAGCATCAGATTCGAGCGGGAGCTGGCTGGTTGCAGTGGGTGATGGCAACTGCAGGCCCTCTTCCAAGGTAGGGATGATTTTCTTCAGAATTTCTCCAATTGTTTCAGTATCAGCACTGATACTCAATATGCGCTCAGGGCCACTGCTGTCTGGGACTGAAACACTGGCATTGTAGTCTGTACAGAGAGCCTTAATATTCTTGCCTCCTTTTCCAATCACTGCCCCAGCATTCTTGCTCTGAAGCAAAATGCGTACTTCAACCATCTCATCAGTGTTTCTAGATCTTTTAAAAGCTTGTTCCTCTTCCATATCTTCTGCAGGGCGTTTACCAAATTCACCATTGGTTTCGGTGTTGGGGAAGGTTTCCTCTGGCTGTTCAGTTTCCATTTTCTTGTATTAAATGGATACACCAATCTATAGGCCGCAAGAAAGAGGGACATAGGCAAGACGTCGAGGTTGCTGCAGCAGAGAAACAGAGGATAATGGCGTCTGCCTAATCTACAGTTCTTTATGCAGAGTGACAGAAAGAAGGTAATCAAGAGTTGGATTTGTGGCAATATCTCTAGCTTCCTGGTTTCCTAGAGTCCACTGTTATATCTGTACTTATAATCAAGAGTAACAAATAATTGGTAATGCTGTGAGTATTATTTGTTATATAATACCATATATTAATAATAATAAAATAAATTAAAAGCAAGCGTGGTAATACATTACACATAGTACTCTCCGTGAGTTGGGCAGCATACTAAATGTTTTCTGTATGTGTTGCCTCAATCTTCACACTAATCCTACGTGACAAGAGTTATTACTACCTCCATTTCACAGATGAAGTTACTGAGGTTTTGAGAAGTTCAATAATTTGCCCAGTTTTTAAAAAGCATCCCCAAAATGTGCTGCCTAAGATTCAATATAATCCTATGCCAATGTCTGTGAATCTTAGGAACAAGAAGTGCTGGGGATAAGGACCATGCTCTAAAAGGAAACTTGTCTGGTGATTGTTTCCAGGTAATGACCTGTTTGCCTAGGGAGACACCTGTTTGGAACAAAAGGTAGCAGAGAAACTTAAGGCTAAGAATGGGCATTTTATTTTAATTTACCTTATTTTTTAAAATTTTTTTTATTGTTATGTTAATCACCATATATTACATAATTTGTTTTGGTGTACTGTTCCATGATTCATTGTTTGTGCATAACACCCAGTGCTCCATGCAGAATGTGCCCTCCTCAATACCCATCACCAGGCTAACCCATCCCCCCACCCTCCTCCCCTCCAGAAACCTCAGTTTGTTTTTCAGAGTCCATCATCTCTCATGGTTCGTCTCCGCCTCTGACTTACTCCCCTTCATTCTTCCTCTCCTGCTATCTTCTTCTTTTTCTTTTTTCTTAAAATATGTTGCGTTATTTGTTTCAGAAGTACAGATCTGTGATTCAACAGTCTTACACAATTCACAGCGCTCACCGTAGCACATATCTTCCCCAATGTCCATCACCCAGCCACCCCATCCCTCCCACCGCCATAATTTACATTATTTTTTAAAAAAGATTTATTTATTAATGTGAGAGAGGAAGCGAGAGGAGGAGCAGAGGGAGAGGGAGAGAAAGAATCCTAAGCAGACTCCCCGCTGAGTGTGGAGACTGCCGTAGGGCTTGATCTCATGACCCCAAGATCAAGACCTGAGCCAAAACCAAGAGCCGGACACTTAACCGACTGTGCCACCCAGGTGCCCTGAGAATGTACATTTTATTTATTTTATTTTTTTAACATTTTATTTATTAATTTTGACAGAGAGACACAGCGAGAGAGGGAACACAAGCAGGGGGAGTGGGAGAGGGAACACAAGCAGGGGGAGTGGGAGAGGGAACACAAGCAGGGGGAGTGGGAGAGGGAGAAGCAGGCTTCCCTCTGAGCAGAGAGCCCAATGCAGGGCTCAATCCCAGGACCCTGGGATCATGACCTGAGCCGAAGCCAGATGCGTAACGACTGAGCCCCGCAGGCGCCCCAAGAATGTACATTCCTACAAATCACATGCAGGAACAGTCTGAATGTACATTTTAAACTTCTACATAGCATTTGGCCATTATTATGAAGTTTCTGGTTGCTCCAGATCCTTTTTAAAACAAGGCATTATGTAACTAAATAGATAGTGATGTCACCTTCTTTTTCTTGAACAATCCTCCACAGCAAAACTATGAGCTAGGGATTATGATCCCCATTTTCCAAATGGGAAAGCTGAGACTGGGAAGGAGATTAGGTGACTTGCCCACGTTAAGTGCAGGGCCAGGACTCAAACCTACATACATCTCACTAATTTCCATCCAGCAGCCTTTCCCTACACTGTGCTGCCTAAACGAGTTCACGTCTCTGGTCTCTGCCAGCAGAGTGAGTCAAGCCACTATACCCACCACACAGGGGAATCAGAGTATCCCCTTAATGCTTCGAGTGGAGAGGTAGGACACACCCTGTCTCATGGGCAATGAGTTAATGATACAAGAAATGTCCCAAAGCAGTTCAGGTGGAAATAAAGGGAAAGCAGTTCCCAAATGTCAAGGGGGAAGTCAGATTCTGTGCGTATCAAAGAGATTTGTGCACAGAATATATGGAGGATGCTGACCCAGTAGAGGAAGCCAAAGAGGAGAGAGGAGGCTGCCCTGCTCAACCCCACCACCCCATCCAGCACCAGCTGAACTCTCAAGTGCAGAATCCTGTATTCTCACAAAACTCCATTCTTTTTCCTCTTCTCTAGTTGCATGTGCATTTCATTGTGATTTTAATTAAGGGCTGGGTAATTCACACCCTGCAACTCTGCTCTCCAGCATGCTCATCACTTTCATTTGTATAGCTGCCTACTTCCCTAAATACTTCTGGCCAACAGGCAGGATGGGGATATTGGGGGCTGGTGTACCTATCACCTTCCTCTTCTTCCTACTGCAGCACCACCCCCATCTCAATTCCAAAGGCCCAGCAGTCTGCATGGGAGTAGAACAGCTCCATTTTTCTCCAATATTAATAATTATGACATTAGAAGGGTGATCTGCTGCAATTCAGCCTTTCTATTTGCAGGCTGGTGGCTGCATATCAATGGCATGATTAGGCAAATGAAATCAGATTGGCACTGTTATGAAATATTTACATGGCCAGAATGCATATGCTTCAATCTCATTGTTCCCATTATTAAGCCATTTTATAATCTCATAACATTTAGACTCACACTTTGCATTTCTAATTAACTTGAGGAGTGACTTCGCTGGGAATTAATTGCAACTTGTGCATTCTTATACACACAAACTCCCTGAGAAACAAACTCTGGTTGGCAATCATGCAATTCACCCCTAAGATGGACCCTAGGCTGACTTCTGTTCGAAACCATTTTTTCCGTCAGTTGGGAAAAGTGGCTGGGGACATTGGTTTTCATTAAAATTTGGCTACAAATCACATGCAGGAACAGTCTGAGAGCAAGAGTCCCTTTGGAGGGATTAGTTTCTACCTGAATAGCCTTTCACAAAGAAGCAGTTTGATGCGGGGCAGTGGTTTTCAGATTTTGTAGATCAATAACATCCCTAAAATAATAATAGTAATAGTAATAATAATAATAATGATAATAAAGATAATAAAAGATTTGGGATAGCTAAAGAGCTGTTATATTGAGCAGTTATATAGCCTTTATTTAAAATCGCTTCAGGATAAAGAATGTGGTGCCTCTCTCACACTTGATCAGTAGCATTTGGAAATCTCCAGTAAAAAGTCCATGCCTGGCAAGTGGCTACTATGGGCACTTCAATGATCTTCATCTCCTACAAACACCAGAGTTTTGTTAATATGCACTCTTGGTGTCAGAAATGGTTTTTTACTGGTGGAATGAGTGGTGTTCATGATATGTGGATTGGTTAGAAATATCGATCAGCCACTTTCTCTCATGAATGTACAGGGAGTGCCCTATAAGCATGCCCGGTAGCCTACACCCTTTGGAACACTGCCTAGGCCTAGAAATTTCCCTGGGCACATTTTAGGAAACTTATGCAAGATCTGGTTGCCTGGCTCTGATTAAGAATTGATATGAATCTACTGTGAGTGAACCTTGCTTATAAGATACTTGTTGGAGTGAGGGTTCTCAGCTGGGGGCAATTTTGCCCCTCCCCACCCTGGGAGTGAGGAGGATGAGGGGAGGTAGCAATGTCTGGAGATGTTTTTGGTTGTCACAGTTTGTGTGTGTGTGTGTGTGTGTGTGTGTGTGTGTGTGTGTGTGTGTGTTGGAGTGTGTTGCTACTGGCATCTAGCGGATATTGGCCAGAGATGTTACAGGACATCCTACAATACCCAGGACAGCCCCATCCCCCAAGAATGACCCAACTTTGAATGTGAACAATGGCAAGAAATCCTAGAAAAGGACAGAGAGCTTCAACTTCATTGAGCTCACAGAACAGGCTGTATGCTGTTATGTCTAATGGCTAATGTTTGCATGTGTGACAAAATTTAGTCTGTGTCTCTCTTTGTAATATACACCCTGATGGTGAAGTTATGGAGGAAAAATCCTAGATCTTTTTTTTATGTCAACCATTGGAGGTGACCAGTATCTATCAAAAAAGAACCCAGTAACTATGCACGACCACGTTGTCTTAGGGCAGTTTGAGACAGTAGTGTAGATTCTCAGTCTTTTATTTTGGAAACTTTAAATTTTGTTAATTCCTTACTTTAAAAAGAAACAATGACGATCTATTATTACCATGACAGAATAACAGAATAAAAAGCTTCAATACACCAAAGACATCATCAGGAACAATCCTTTAAATAAAATATGTTTCACTTTAAAAAAAATCCAGCAATTGCACTACTGGGTATTTACCCCAAAGATACAAATGTAGGGACTCGAAGGGGTACGTGCACCCCAATGTTTATAGCAGCAATGTCCACAGTAGCCAAACTGTGGAAAGAGCCAAGATGTCCATCGACAGACGAATGGATAAAGAAGAAGTGGTATATATACACAATGGAATATTATGCAGCCATCAAAAGGAATGAGATCTTGCCATTTGCAACGACGTGGATGGCACTGGAGGGTGTTATGCTGAGTGAAATAAGTCAATCAGAGAAAGACATGTATCATATGACCTCACTGATAGGAGGAATTCTTAATCTCAGAAAACAAACTGAGGGTTGCTGGAGTGGTGGGGGGTGGGAGGGATGGGGTGGCTGGGTGACAGACATTGGGGAGGGTATGTGCTATGGTGAGCGCTGTGAATTGTACAAGACTGCTGAATCACGGATCTGTACTTCTGAAACAAATAATGCAACATATGTTAAGAAAAAAGAAAAAGAAGAAGATAGCAGGAGGGGAAGAATGAAGGGGAGTAAGTCGGAGGGGGAGACGAACCATGAGAGACGATGGACTCTGAAAAACAAACTGAGGGTTCTAGGGGGGAGGGGGTGGGGGGATGGGTTAGCCTGCTGATGGGTATTAAAGAGGGCACGTTCTGCGTGGAGCACTGGGT